AGTAACTGCTATATTTCAAATATGATAGTAGGCCCAGGACTGTTCTGTTACAGATTAGGCACAGACATTAAGTCACAAATGTGGATGAACAGATTTTCAAATGATATCTTTAGAAATTTTCAGTCAATAAATGACTAAAGCTGGATGGAGATAGAATTATAAACTGTCAAAAGATACCACACTGCTTAAATATTAAAGAAAGACTAGATTATAAAAAGTAGGTTCATACTTTTATTCACAGCTATGGAGTCCGCTCCAGATGTCACACTGATGCTAGAGCATCTTTGGCAGATCACTATTCTCCAGCGAGCGCTGGTCTTTCTCGAATCTTCACTGTCTTCTCTAGGCCAGAAAGCCTGTCCCCTCTGCCATCCTGGCCAACTCTGCTTACCAATTCCTGCCCATCTTTCAAAGCCCAGCCCTGGCTGAGGTCCCCCTCCTTTGGGAAACTTTCCAAGCTCTCCTTCCATGTTGCGTGCTCATCTCTCTTACCAGATGGGGCATCCTTAATAACAAGTATGTGAACCCTTGCTGGATGGACTGCACAGGAAGCAAATCGAGTACATCTATGGAAAGAGACAATGGAGAAGCACCACATCATCAGTCAAAACAAAACCAAGGGTCAGATATGGAACAGACCATCAGTTGCTCATGTGCAAGTTCAGGTTGAAGCTGAAGAAAATCAAAGCAAGTCTACAACGACCAAAGTATGACCTTGAATACATCCAGCCTGAATTTAGAGACAATCTCAAAAATAGATTTGAAGCACTGAACACTAATGACAAAAACCAGAACATCTTGATGATATCAAGAACATCATACATGAAGAAAGTAAAAGATCATTAAAATGGCAAGAAAGGTTTCTATACACCAGCAATGAGAAATCTGAAAGAGAAATTAGGAAACAATTCCATTTACAACACCATCTAAGGGAATAAAATACCTAGGAATAAATCTAACCAGGGAGGTGAAGGACTTATACAATGAAAACTATAAAACACTGCTGAAAGAGATTAAAGAAGACTTAAATAAATGGAAAGATGCTCCATGTTCATGGATTGGAAGACTTAATATTGTTAAAATTTCAATACTACCCAAAGCAATCTCTAGATTCAACACAATCCCAATCAAAATTCCAACAACCCTCTGTACAGAAATCTAAAAACCAATCCTCAGCTTTATATGCAATGCCCAGAGGCCTCAAATAGCTAAAGCAATGTTGAAAGAGAAGAACAAAGTAGAACTCACACTTCCAAATTTTAAAAAATACTATACAGCTACAGTAATTAGAACAGCCTGCTACTAGTATAACAATGGACACATGTACCAATGGAATAGAATTGAGAGTCCGGAAATGAAACCACACATCTGTCGTCAACTGGTTTTTGACAAGGGTGCTAAGTACATTCGATGTGGAAATAGGAGTCTCTTTACTAAATGGTGCTGGGAAAATTGGATTTTCAGACGTAGAAAAATGAAACAGGATCCATGCCTCACACCATACACAAAAAAAGTTCAAAATGGATTAAGGATCTAAATGTGCAAACTAAAACCATAAAATTCTTAGAAGAAAAAGCAGGGCAACACTGTCAGTCCTAGCTTTTAACAATATAATATAATAACAAAAGCACAAACAGCAAAAGACAAAATAAACGAGGCCTCATAAAAATTAAAAACTTTTGTTCATCAAAAAACTTCACCAAACGAAGGGTGAGACAATACACAATACTGGGGAAACCAACACAACTTGTACAAAGAAAGGTGATAGAAGCTCCATAGACACAGCCAAACTCCCTGAGGGACTGAATTGCTGGGCAGAGGGCTCTGGGG